AGGCGGAGGAGGCGGTTTGGGGGTGCGCCAGGCGTGAAGGCGGCCAAAGCGCTGCACAGCCCGGCGGCTGGCCAGGGCCTCGGGGAGAGGCGGCGCGGCCCGTACTGTAATAATAAACCTGCAGCAGAGGGCATCTGAGGGAAAGAGGACGACGACCGGCGGCAGCCGCCTTCCCTTTTATGTGCCTGTCCTGAACTGAGCAGAAAATGGTGCCCGCGGCGGCGCGGAGCCGCACACAGACACACAAAGAGCAGGCATTGCACGCGTTTGCGCACGGCTTGGGTCGGCCCCACCGGGGACGCGCGCCCCGCTCCTGGCCTCGTGGAAGCCCTCGGCCCGAGCACCCCAGCGGCCCTGCGCGCGCGCGCGCACGTATACACAAACACACACACGCCTGCAACACGCACACGCACACACGCGCGCACACACACGCACACATACGACTGCAAGAGCTGAGCTCTGGTGTGATCAGCCGAAGGCACACTCGCCAGGAGCTCCCTTCTCCTTCCCTGAAAGATTTAGCAAGTTCCTCACTTTCAGCCTCCCTAAAATTGTACTTTTTAAAATTGGAGATTGCATTTTGAAAAAGGTTCTTTGCATTTCTGAGGGTTTTTTAAAAATGTCATTTATCTTATTTAAAATCTGACCATCTTTTCATAGTAATGTAAACTCAAATTTTTTGTTACAAATTCGAACAAACTGGTTTTGTTGCCAATCAGACAGGATATAATTTTTTGGTAACTGTCAGATGTTAGAGGGGAAGATTATTTCCTAATTAAATTACTTTGCCAAGAAAAAAGATATAAAGGATCATAATATCTTTTAAATTTGCCATCAACATTTTACTTCTAGTCACTGAAAGCAATGTTTTCCATGATAACAGTCAAAAGAAAAAGGTGGAGTGGATTTACATAACTAAATTCTTAAACATATGTTTATAGAATGTCTTATTTTTTTAGATTTAAGTGTTTTTGAGTACAGAAAAGTACACCTTAAAAAGAAATATTCTACACTTTTAATTATAAATAATAAACTGTAAGCTCATTGCCTGGACTGTAGATCTCCTTTTGCACTACAAAAGCAGCAGCAAATACACATTGGACTACCAGTGGATGCCATATTTAAGGAGCCTACTAGGAGCTTCCCTGAATTTATCTAAAATATCGCAGTCACTTTCCTGCAAAACAAACAAACAGACAAAAAAACAAAAAAACTTACTAGGAATAAAGGAAAAAACAAGTCTCAGTGAACTTCCCTAATGCCTTCAGAGCCAGTGTTCACTTGCCAGGAAAATGATGGAAGGCAGGCCTGGGGAGTCAGTGGGGCAGTGGGAGACGGCAGAAGCCTGGAGGCTGCCTCTGCAGGCCTGAGGCTCGAGCAAGCTGGTAAAGGGCACGTCAACATTGAGATCTGTGGCATTCACCTCAGAGTCAGACCCGAAAAGAAATCCAAGAGGGCACTGCCACGTTGACCAAAAATCTATCTCAGGAAGATTTCTTCGAAACCCTTTCAAAACACAGGGAAATTACGAATTCATTGTATGTTAATTTTTCTTCATTTGTAACCAGACATCCAGGTGACATAGATTTTTTTTTAAAGAAATAAGAACACTAGGTCAGAATCGTAGTCTATTTATGGTGTTCCAGAAAACGGTTACAATCCAACTATCCAAGAAAATTCTTGAGTCCCTCTGCGTGTAGGAGACTGTGCTAACCACTAGGGACATAAAGGAACACACATGATGTCACCTTACTCGGAAAATGTAGTAAGAGCTGTCTCACGTGCTCCTGGATGTCATGCTCTGTCCTGCTTCCATCTATCTTGGGGGTGACATGGTAGACCCACTCTGCTGACACACTTTTTAGTCATAGTACCACCTGCTCCATTACAGTACAAGGACCATACTTAGCCTTCCACTTAAAACTCACCACATTGTGACTGCAATCTAATTTTCTAGCTTTATCATCCATCTCGTTCCCAATCATGGAATGTCAGTCCTTTGCTTCAGTGTGGTTCATTACTTAGGACATATATTCATCCCTAGACCATTAACAGAAAACAAAAGTCACACAAACCCTGACTTAAACAGAATGCCTCAACTCAGTGCTGTTTTGATGTTTGGGGCCAGATAATTCTTTGATGGGCCAAGAGGCCCAGTGGGGAGGGATAGGGGGCTGTCCTCTTCCTTGTAGGATGTTTAGCAGCATCTGTGGCCTCTACCACATGGATGCCTATAGCAAAACCCCGGTTGAGACAACTAAATTTGTGTCCAGACATTGTCAAATGTTTCTTGGAGGGACAAACTCGCCCCTCCTAGAGAACCACTGGCTTAAATAATCAGATCCACTCCTGAGAGGAAAGAGGTGGCCTCCCTAGAGCTGTGTGGACTGTATGCAGGAGGGACAGAGACCTGCACAAAAGCAAGGTTTTCTCAGGAAAGAGGAAAAAGAAGGCAATGCCCTTATCTTGGGCTTTATAGTCTGGGGCGAGGGGGTAAGGAGACAAAGCCCAAGTTACAGTGCACTGTGACCAGGACAGCTGTAGAGTTCTACACAGGGTATGCTGTGAACACAAAGGCTCCTTTCTAAATCAGACCAGGGGTTCAAAGGAAGTTTCCTAAAGGAGGTGATACTTCAACTGAATTTGTGAAGAACGAACAAAAGGAAGCAAATTAAAGACGAGGCAGGGGCAGATCATGAGCTAAGAAATTTGATCAGTGACTGCTGACAGCAGGTGATACAAGAAAAAATGAGAACTTGTCGTAAGAACCTGACCCTTATGTTCTATCCCTGACACATGTGCCAAAGAATAGTCCATCAGAGGACTTGGTTAAAAGGAGAAGATGTACTTTAGATACAGGGATTTCCTTCAATCTCTCTTAGGTATCTGTTGTCAAATATATCTTCATATATCCAAATGTATCTCAAATGTATATTCCTGTGATTTGTTTGTTTATTTGTTTTCAGCTTATGTCATTGGTTGAGGTAACAATTTCCATGAATTTCAGCTCTGGATAAAAGGCCATGTATAAAAGTGGTTAGAGCCAGCTCTCTGTGACCCTGGAAAAGTTCTTAACTTTTTAGTTTGAGTTTCCTCACCTTTTATTGGGGTTTGTTTGTATTATAGTACCAGAGTGCTGTATTGAATAGAACTGCCTACCATGTTTGGCATTTAGTTAGTGTTACATACACAGTAGCTTTATAGCATATAGTAGAAGTATTAGAGGTAGCTTTATAGAATAAAACTTCTATGACATACTGTGGCTCGCCCTGCCTCTCCTCCTAGCTCCATCTCCAGTTTCTCTCTGGTCAGCTCAAGTGGTGTGCAGCTCCCCTGTGAGTCACGCTCTTGCATGACTCTTGGGCCTTTTCACTTGCTCTTCCTGCTGCCACAATGCCTCTTTCCTCTTCTTCAAGGTGTTCACTTTTGCTCACTTTTCACAAATTTGCGTTATGCATCACATCCTTTAGGAAATGTTCTTTGAACCCCTGGTCTGATTTAGAAATGAGCCTTTGTGCACCCTGTGCAAAACTCTACAATTGTCCTCATCAGTCTTCACTGTGTGCAACTTTGCTCTGCTTTTCTGTCTTCACCACCAGACTGCAAATTCCATGAAGGAACAGACTAACAGACATTATTGACTACATGACTAACAGACATTATTGACTACATGCCTAACATCCATTGTCTCTTTCCTCTTCCGCATCCTTAATGAAACCCTGGTTTTGTTCTGGTCCCCATCCTTCAGCCATACAGCCCACAAATTCCAGGGAAAGTGACCCTGAGGAGTAGATCTTAATTATTTTAGCCAATCAGTATATTGAATTGCCTGGATCTAATAATGGGCTAGAGATGAGCATGTAACCATCGGATGGAAGGGAAAGAGTTATACTACAAGTTTGAGCTAAGAAATCTGAATTCTACGCTTAAAGCAATATAGAACCATTGAAGAAACTTAATCTGAAAGTGACATGACTGGATTTTTTTTCCTAGAAAGATTATTCTTAGAGCAATTTGGAGGGTGGATCTGAGTCTGGAGAAAGGAAAGAATTGAGGAAATAACATCAATTAGGTGATTATTACAGTAATCCAGGTGAGTAATTATAAATGGTTCAAATTAAAGTAGAGACCATGGGAAAGGAGAGGAGGGAAGGAGTGAAGTTACGTTCCAAGGTAGAATTGCAGGACTCATTAGGGACTTAATAAAATACTGGGGATTAGCTGGAGAAAAGAGTCCAAGATGATTCCAGGCTTCTGGCTCTGTGACTGATTAGATGACGATGGTCCCTTCCGAAACAGAAAATACAAGAAGAGCGGATTTGGGAGGAGAAGAGGGGTGATAATGAGCTCAGTTCTATAGTTGTTGAATGTAGAACTCATATATTCCATATTCCAACAGCAAGCTTTGGGTAATTTTCTTATCACTACCTCCCTTTTCCTCATGCTTCCTTCCTGTGATGGGCTGAATTGTGGC